AAAAGCAGATTCAGACGCGGAAATCATACTGTGAAGGATGGATTTCTGCTCCTGGACGTTGATCGGCACTTCTCCAAGCTCAAGCCAAGCTCCAATGATGATGAAGATCAAGCTAGGGCACTTGGGAACTCTTGTTCGTCACTTTCTCACTCTAGGAATCGATCTCTCTCTCTAAAACTCGAATCCCCTTGATCTTTTGCCTTCTTTTCCTTTAAAACTGCAGCCTGTCGCGATACCCGGTCGAAATACCCGGTCGGGTATTTTGGGTCTCGACTGGGTATAAATGAAACGCACGTTTTGATGTCAGGGGAAATCCCCGGTCTGTCCCCAGAATCCCCGACCGGGGGTTTTTGGCTCCTGCCCGGGCCCCCCTCTGTTTCTCACGTGTGCCAAAACAATAAATACACGGTCGAGTATTTGAGCCCACGACCGGGTATTTTCCTCCTGCAGCACACTTCGACCCAACTTCGCTCCTTTTGACTCAAAACTCGTTTCCTCACCTCGATTCCAACGTCGAGTCCTGAAATATGACATAAACACACAACCTCGCGTGAAATCGGCTTAAACACGAGAGTCAACCTCTCAAACGGCTCAAGAATAGGGGTAAAAACATGTGTAATTATTGGTCTATCACATTTCTCGCCAAAACGAGCAGATCCTTGCTGGCCAGGAGCACATCAACGCCTGACTCGACCATGAGCGCGAAGGTCGTCGCCGCATCATTTCGGCTCAGCATTACATGTTGAGCTACTGGGACATGGACCCTGCTGCTGTTAGCTACCCATGGGAGGCTTCCCGGGGCATGTGGATTTCTACCCGCCTCCATCTGGAGACGGAGGTGATGAGAACTAAGCTAACTCTGCCTGCTGGCCCATCGAGTTGGGCTCTGCATTTGTCTTTCTTTCCAAACTAAGACTCCATATTGTGTTTCCTTTTCTCTTGTCTTGTTTCTTTGGATTGTAGACTTGGAACTATGGTTTCTTTCACCCATTGTGTGTGTGTTTTGCTGATTCTAGATCTGTACCTGTTGGACTGGTCCTTGTCCAGTCATCTGCTATTGACTGGTCCTCCCTCCAGTCACCGTTTCTAGCCACTTTTTTCACGGTAACATCTTTCCCCTTCCCTCTGCTCCATTAAGGACACTATCGCATTTAAGTGTGGGGGGTTCTTTGTATTCATTGGAACGTACATATGTGTGCTTGGAGCCTAGTCCGCTGTCCAAATCTCGAGATTTGAGGGCTCCAAGCACTGCTGTTTGCTTGATCATATTGGCACTGTGGAGTTAATGGGTGAATTGAATGGCTTTCGAATTAATGCATGACAATTGGATTGTGATTAGGACAGCCTATAATGATGCTGAGACATGCAGTAGAATTGTGTAGGGGTTCAGTTTCTCAACTGTTTGCTTACCAACTGTGACTCGAATTGATCACTTGTTCTTGATAGTCGTTTATGCATCTAGCTCAGGGAATCAGAATGAGAGATAGAGCATATAGGTAGCCATGTGAGATTTGAGTCTGCTCGTTTCTTTCTTGTGCGATAGTTCCCTCATCCATGATGTGTATCATTCACGTTGTCATTAGCTAAGATGATGGAGGCATAGGAATAGCCCACAACCAAATTGACTGTCCTGGTGTGTCATACCCCCTAGTCAGCCCTTTGAGCCATGAACTTTCCTTTCTTTCGGTCTACAATGAAAAATCACCCTTTTGCATCTCTTAGAAGGTTCCACAGAGTGGTTTTTGCATGTTCTCTGCTGTTTCTGCTAAATTTAATGTGAGGGTTGGAGGTAATGCTTAAAACACGGGCATGTGTTTGAAAAAATGTGCAGAGGTGGTGGTTCTCTCAAGAAAGAAAATGGAAAAACAATGAATGAAAACAAAAGAGAGCCACTACCCAAAATTATGAATCATGCTCGTTAAGTAGTGTTTCTTAGCAGTCTGGCTTGGAAATACTAGCATTTATGTGACCTTCTTCCCTCTTGTGCTCTAAAGAATTTGAGTAATGCAGAATAGCAGAAAGAAAGTTACTGGTTTAATTGGCTGTGATTGTGTTGGGTTTGGAACTGTGAAATTTTGTACTATGAATACTTACACCACCTAAAAGGCCTTTTCCCTATGTCCAAGACCCTAGCCAGTCATCTGAACCTGTGTCTAAGACCTCCGGATTAGTTAGTGGTGACACCCCATATGTGAACTCTAGCATTTAGAGGCTGCCTTCATGGTGAAGAGACGTTAGGGATTGAGAGAATAAGCATGCACATTTTTCGCATCAAATTGTCCTGACCCCACTGGTCGAGAGTGAGCGATTCAGTTTCTCATATTATCTATACTCTTTACCCCGGTGAGGACCTAGATTGCTCGATCTCAATTCTGATATCTTGAGTTTTGTGCATAAGGTGACTGTCTTGAGTAAGTGGTTGAGTCAAGTCTATGTTGATTGATGAACAGAAGGGAGACTCCTCCCTTACTCGATTTTGCTGCACTCGAATGTCCTCTGTGATGGTTGTCTAGGTTGCTGTTGAAGTTGTTCATGTGTTGATGTTTGAAAGCCAGTATGATTCCCGTGTTTCGTGCCTATGTGATATGTCCCCAAGGGTTGCATGATTGAGATGTTTCGAGCTTACCTTGTATCTGACTTGGTTTGCTTGGGGACAAGCAAACGGTTAAGTGTGGGGGAATTTGATAGCATCGTATTTGCAAATGTTTTCACTCTTGTTTCCTGACCATTTTAGCTCGAATTTTTTGTTCCTTGGCCTATTTTACGCTAGGTTGTGTTGTTTTGTCGTATTTCAGGTCCTAGCAAGTAAAGAGGTGCATAGGCGCAAGTTTCGGGTCATTTAGAGGTCAGTTGGCGATTCAAGATGCAAATCACGGGCAGCCCCTGCCCATTTACTGTCATAATTGCTCCCGTCATGCCCGTAATTGCAATGCCGAGCCAAATTCTTGAGGATTCCTGTCGCAGAGAAAATTACGGGCAAGAGTCAAAGTAACTAAGGTCGTAATTCCTAAAATACCGGCAATAATTGGGTAATTACGACCGTAATTCCTTTCTTCTGAGTTAAGTGAAATGCGCGTTTTGGGCGATTTACGGGCAGACCATGATTACGGCCCTAATTCAGCCCATATTTTGCCCAGAATCGGGTTTTTGAGGCAGATTCGAGCCAAAGGAGAGAGAATCGACTTTTTGGAGCAAAATCAGAGTTTAAGATAGAGAAAGTGCGAAGAACAAACCCTATGAGCTATTTGGAGTGGATTTCTCATCATTGAAGCCCGGATTGCATCTCTAGGAGTGAAGATTGACATCCCAGAGCAGATTCTTCCCATTGTTATGAGTATGACTACTTTGTATTCTGTTTCCCTCTCTCTCCCTATGGAGTAGAACTTTCTCTCACTTGGGTATGAAGAACCCTAGTTCCATGTGTTAGGAATCTTGATTGTAATAACGTGTGGATTGTGATATTGCTTGATTATAATCGATTGAAGTGTTTTGATTGAGTCAATTAAAGTCTGATCATCTTTTATTGATTTCTGCTACAACCTGAGATAGATAGAATCTGATTAGGTTGTTAGAGCTTCTTCAATCGATAGTAGTGAATGGATTATACCAGAGTTAGTCGATTCACTGCTTTGTACTGGAATCTAAATCCAGTAGTGGAGTTCTGTGTTTATTGCCTCAGCGTTCTATTCCGGTGAAGACTAGTCGTTTGCTGGGTAGTTTGACTGAGAGGGCTTGGTCAGCTTAAGAGATTTCATGCTACTGTCCGATCTTCCGCTGTATAATCCGCAGTGGTTATGAGCAATTCCTCATACTACAATGACCCGCCTTCTCTGTTTGGATAACGATACACCATACGATCAACTCTCCTCATACCCTCCATGCAAGTAACCATTATACACATTTGACGGAGCTCTTCAAGGTTTGGTCGCTTTCCGGCCTTCACTTAATGAAAATCACTACCTACGTAACTAACCCTGTTTCCAGTATCTTTTATGTAACTATTCCACCGTACCCAATCGTGAATTTTCGGATGGACATCAATAGTAAAACGTAACTAATTAAATACATTAAAATTTTCAAATTAACCATGCGAATGAGATATTTTTTGAATGATAAGCATTTAAAATTCACAAAATTAACTTACGAAGTAATATAATTGCAAAAACTAAAAAAAACAGTAAGAAGAAGAACATAAATTAGAAGAAGAAAGAGAGGGAGTAGTCAAGAGTTGGGGTATCCGGGGCTGTCTTTAATAGGAAAAATGTCTCGTTCAAACCACCACGACCCCTGCGGTCCACCTCAAACCGCTGGGGGAGGTGGCAGTTTTTAAGAAACATGCAAACCCCATGCCTTCAAACCCCCCGCATGCCAACATGTTGGTTGTCAGGGGATGGGGACACCATATAAACCGCCACTGACCCTTGCAGTTTATATGTAGGCAAATTGGATGGTTGGGGCCAGTAGCGTTCCTCTTTGTCGACATAGAACCCTCGGGGATCCCGCGGTTTGGTCAGCCATAAAACTGCTGTTGGCCCCGTGGTTAGTGATCAAAATTTAAACCGCCCCTACCCCATCGGTCCTTTTGTAAACCACCACTGGGTGTTGCGGTTTATGTGAAAGGGTGGTATACTTGGAATTATTCTGGAAATGGTGGTATTTTCAATTTTTTTTAATTTTTGGGTGGTATTTCTGAAAATGTTCCTTCATTACCTATCTTTAACAAAACTTTCAATTAGCATTGCAGCTATAGTGTTGTGAAATGTGTGTTTCAATAATAAAGTTAGTATCTTGCGAGAAGATGGTACATAGATCTCATCTTAAAAATCCATAATTTTAATATGCGTTCAATTTCTAATGAGATGTATAGGCCTCATAATACCTACCAAACTCTGCCAATACGATCAAATTAAACTGGATGATGTATCTTAAGTTCATTTTCATCAAAATAATAATTTATTTTAAATAAAAAGCTTTGGACCAACAAAGAAATTAAACAACAACTTAACCAACGTGATCCACTTAGAGGTTTCGAGCCCACTAAATTGGATTAGAATTTTATCCGAGCCCACTAAATTTTTGTAACTAATAACGGTTTGTGACCATTTTGTCATTCACCAAAAGTTAAGTGAGCATTTTTGGCCAATTACCCTCAAAGTCTTCTTATCACCGAAAATTGTCATATTCGGCGGTGGAAGAAGTAAGAACTAAGAAGTCCGATTCAACTCCGTCGACCCTTTTCTGAATCCTATTATTTCTCTGTCCCCTTCTTCTGATGGCGAATCCGTACAGATCCAGGTTAGTAAAACTTCAAAATTGATATCATGTGCCATTTCATTTTGCCGTTCCTTTTGTGATCCGTCGCGATTTTATGCTTCTATTTTGCAGTGAAGGTCTAAGCGCGCGACCGGTATTGACGGGTTCCGCCGACGAAGTTCAATTGAGGATCGACCCGGTTCACGCCGACCTCGACGATGAAATCCTCAGTCTTCAAAGTCAAGTTAGCCAGCTGAAAAATGTAAGCTTTTCCACCTCTTTGTTTCTCCAGTTCTCGCTTTTAATTGGCCAAAGTTGCGATCTTTTCATAGTTTAGGGATAACAAACGCAGTGTTAGTCCTAGAAGCTATGCTCTCAGCTTATGGGCAGTTCTAGATTTCTGAATTTTTCCTGAATCTAAGTGGCTTCGGTTGTTGTTGTCGTTCTTGCGAGGATAACATGCTTCATTTATGTTTTGCCATTCTCTTAAGATTTTCTCTGATTGACTTTGCTTGCAGGTAGCCCAAGAAATTGAGTCCGAAGCAAAATATCAGAATGACCTTGTATCTGATTTGGTAAGAGTCTACGCCATTTGTTCTGTTCTGTTCTGTTCTGTTCATTTATGTTAAGAACACCATAATTTGTGCCCCTGTGTGGGAATCAATGCAATTGTTTCATTGAAGATGGTAGATGGATGGATCGAACCCTTTAGATTTTTCTAGTGTAGCAAACTTGCATGATCTAAAACAGTGTTTTATTCTGGTTAAGTTGTCTTGTGAACCACATATACTGCTGTCGCAAGCGGGCACCTATTGCACTTGATAGTAAATGGTAAAACATGGATTTCTTATCTTACAAATCTATTTCCTGATTTGTTTGATGCAACAGCAAAGATTATTGAGCAATGCTGAGGCAGGGGTGAAAAATGGGATGAAGAAACTGAATAGAACAGTTACGCAACACAGATCAAATCACATACTACAAGTAATAGTATTTGGTCTGATGTGTTTTGCTGTAGTCTATATGTGGACGAAAGTCTGGCGTAGATAAGATTCGGCTTAAGATTCATACATGTTTTCTGTTATGGTACTTGGCTGGTACTATATCATTCCCCAGTCTACTTAGATATATTCATGTAGTTTGCTGCAGTCCGACAGTTGCCCTGTAAACATATCTGCAAGTGTTCGAAATGTTGCTCACAGAAGATCGACGTTTGGTCTTCAACTTACTTATTGAGGGGAATGGAAGGAATTGGAGTGATTTTTTTAATCTGTTCTGTTTTCAATGCTGTCTGTGTATGTTTGTGATGATGGATTATTGATGGCTTAAGTAATGGGAGACTTCATTCGTACACAAGTTGCTTGAAACCAGCATTTTTGGAGCAGTGTGGTCTGCACATCTGCGAGCAATCTATTTGATTCCTTGAGCAGGTACAGAAGAAAAAACATTATAACATGCTAGCTACAGATGGATACATGCAGGATACAGCATTCACCCCACCTTCTACCCAATAATCCCCTATATAATATATAGCCGTTCTTCAGGAGATTTTGAGCATTTCAAATTCCTTGCACTCTCTTTAATTGTAGTTCGGGGTAAATTTGTAAGTTCAACTTAGAACTTAAAGTTCTTCAGGAGATTTTGAGCATTTCAAATTCCTTGTACTCTCCTTAATTGTAACTAGGGGTAAATTTGTAAGTCAACTTAGAACTTAAATATCTTCTTACGAGACAAAAATGTCATTACAAAGACCTGAACTCAAGTCCTTCAGATTGATAGTCAATATCCATAACCAACTGGCCTACAACAATGTTTATGTATTTTTTGAATTAAAGAGAGAAAATACTGAAATATCTCAAAATTATAGGACTATCCATCACAACAATCAATCATTGAATTAATTAATAACTGTAATTATTTACAAAGTGAATCATTATGATATACCTAGCTTTATGAATCAACTAAATGAGTTCCTCTAATCACACAATTCTTCACCAAGAATCAAATAGTACATTTTGAGTTTATGTATGTCTTACAACTTTTACATTCATTAGGTTACATGACTTTGAAGTTTGTAGAAATACAAGGATTGTTTACAAAAGTGCTATACAAAATTTTATTTCAAAACATAAAATTTGACAATTGTGATCTATGGTTTTGTAACGAGACATTTTCAATGTTATAAGTGAATGACCAAAAATCATTGGCTAACAATTTCCCTAACGGTTGACAATTATAAGCATAGCATTGAAAGACTAAATACCATTGACAAATGAGTCAATTATCATTGGCTAAATTTAACAAACAATGATATGTGTTTATACATTGGAAATTCTATGGTACACACGATGGATTGAGGGTTATTGCATCTCCTTAGTAAAATAAAATTATCTAGACCATAGATTAATCACATAACTAAACCCTATATCATAATTCTCTAAATCCTAATATAGTGCATATGGTGTGTTGTATACATCTTGACGAATCAAAATCATTGATTATGTTCTTAGTATATGTGATATTAGGGTTTAAGTTCTATAGGTTTAGGGTATATGATTTAACTATTTTGAAACTTAATCTCCCTTATCAAATTTCCTGCAATGAGAGGGAAATTACGAAGAACATTTTTGTCTACACAATTATCTGTATTTTTTATTTATTTAAAGAAAAAAATAGACATATTGAGATTTGAACCATGGTCACTTCAAACAAAGTGAAGGTTTAAAATCAATCAGACTATGTAGATTTGTTGTATTTTTTTAAATTAAAGATATATACGAAGCTAAAATATGAAATAAAAAAACTTTTCAACAGCTAGCTAGCCCAATAAATATTTGGTAAGTACTTATTTGGTGTTTTGATACTTCAATTTTGTTATTTTAATTATAGTTTAATACTTAAATTTAAAATTTTATCTATCTTATAAATAGACGATAACCATAAATTTGCAACCAAAATATTGTTGGTTCGAATATTTCATATCGAATTATAGTATTGAATATGTAGAAACAATATCGAATTCTTAAATTATCATTAATTTCCAGAACTATAGTGAAGCAATCATATCTTTGTGCAAACTATAGGGGACTGGTTCTCTGGACATTTTTTCCGGTTAAATACTAAGTTTTGAAACTCTTCCTAGGGGTGTACGTGGGTCGGTTCATTTGGGTTTAGATATTTTAATCACCTAATTCATATACCACGATTTTGAAAACATAAATACAAACTCACCCAAATAATTTAGAATTTTAACGATTTGTGTCCTCCATACCAAATGAATCAATTTACATGTCGCTTAACTAAGGACTATCTCATTGTCCAATCCCATCATTATAATGTCAATCCATAAAAGTAACCCATATTCGCGTTTGTTAACACATGTTTCATATTGTCATTACTGTGACTGGTAACTTCGCTGCAACTGATTCGGCATTGCTCATCATATGGCCTCCAAACTGATAAACATATCGGGCCAGCGGTTTTAGGACAAAACTCAAAGTGAAGACAACTCATCGTTCGGTGGAATTTTGGTGCTTGCTGGTGTCCATTAATCTAATTGCAAGCATAATGATTGCTAAAATTAAGCTTTCACGCAACACACTTGGAGTTGGGGGTGTGTACTTGGAGTAAAAGTTGATATTGTGTTTGCGAAGGGATTAAGGGAAGTGGTTAGAGGAAGAAATTGTGTTTGGATTTGGTAGCAGGTAAAGTTCATGGTTTGGTTTCTTTTCGTAAAATGCTTTGATTTATTTTAGTTAGAGGTATAATATCATGGTTATGTGGGATCAAATGAACTAAATATGAGCTTGGAGATGGGAATTCCAACTTAGAAGGAGTGGATTAGATTTTGATAAACTCAAGTTCGTGATTAAGTGAAAGAATATTTAGATTTAGACTTTGTGGTATTGAGATATTCATAGAGAGTTTAAAACTGATCCAAGGCCATGGATTGATATTGGTTAGTTGATTGTGATTTTGAGGAAGGTGTATAAAAAGTCATGGAAGTAGTTTGCAGCAAGTGGAGGCAGTGAAGGCAGTGAAGAGGCAGTTGGTCAGGGTAGTGATTGAACCAAAGAGGGTATTGAAAGACATAGAAGCAAAATCGGAGCAGTTGAAGAGAGAGAAGTAGTAGATGATCAGGATATTAATGAAAATGGAGAGGGTATTGAAGGGCATGGAAGTGAACTGGATAAGGTGAAGGCAGAGAAGGAGGAAAAGAGCATATTGATGGAATTGAAGACGAGTGTTGGTTTTACGAGCTTATTAAAACTACCACAAGGAAGATGAGTTGGCCAAATACAAGAAAGAGGATTGAAGAGTTGGAAATCAAGCTGACAAGAAACCAATTGAAAGAGAAATTCAGGTTCATGGAGAGAAGGTCCATCAAAGTAGCATAAATGGAGTTGCAGAAGGAGGATTAGAAATTGAATTTTGGTTTAAAACATATACATCGAGAGATTGGAGATGGAGGGGATAAAAAGTTGGTTGTACAACGAAGAGTGGAAACTATTGGATCTTTAGGTGTTATGGTTGTTGCAACTACCACAACCTATGTTTATGTTAAAATGAGGAATCATTGATTGATTTACTAAAGTTAATGTCGATTCACTATTCAAACTACTGGAACCTGTTGATAAGGAGTGTCTAATTTTGTGCCTTATTACTTTGATCGAGTCTATTAGTATATTGGATGTAACTCTAATTTTGTCATTTGCTTTCAAGTATTGATGGTCTCCTTTTATTTGAGTTGTTAGCATATGATTTACTTGAATCAACAACCCTTTATTTTTGTTTATTTTTATAAATCCATTTCTTTTTTATTAGTGGCATGTTATTCATAGGGGAGAGCTTTAAACCATTTATGTGGGATTGTGAGGTTTCATTTCAGTTTCAAACTATCTATGGATCGTGTGGGAATTCCAATGAGCTTTTATATTATATATGTCTAGACAATCTATTAACCAATATCATTTTAATGGGGGCTCAATTATCATTATGAAAATGGGATTAATGATACATTTTTATATTCTTAAATGAGGAGGGTATTTTCCTGAATGTTCGACCTATATATTCATTCTTTATGTAGAATCTCGATTGAATGATTTTCAATAAACTTAAACAAATTAATGGACTGAAACATAACATAAAAATATTAAATATTAAAATATGAACATTCCGGCCAACGGGCCGGATTATAAGCTAGTCCTCCTATAATATATAGCAGTTCTTTAGAAGATTTTTAGTATTTTGAATTTCCTGTCTTCTCCTTAAACTTCGTTGGGGGCATTTTTGGAACTAAAGTGATAATTTTGGAAAGAGCAATTTTCACCGCCCGCACAAATGAGAAAGTGAACGGGCCCAGCGATCGTTTCGGCCATAAACAGAGAACTGGTTCCAGTCACGCCGAGGCATATCTCAACTGTTCGGCCGTACCGATCGTCAAGTCCCCCGCCGCACCTATCCTTCTCTGTTGTCTCCCACAAAGAGAAGCCTCCATTGTTGCTCTGCTCAACGTCGACTTCTCCCATACCTCAACTTCTCCCATGGCCGCTTTACCCATTAGCTCAATTGTCGTTTCTGCTTCCCGGTCCGGCCGAGGAACTATGAATATCCGTTACCTTTTTTTTGGATATGTGAGAAGAAAGAGGTTGTTCGAGAAGAACAATGACCATTTGGTTCTCTTTCCTGAAGCGCCCAAGCATACAGTTTCTTTGTTCAATTGTTCCCTCTGTTTTCTCTTATCATTCCGAGTGAAATTCTTCTCCCCAGAGATGGATGACGACTAATTCACCTTCCCGTTTCTTCTTTTCAAATTCATTGTCCATGTGAAATGGTATTTTTGTAAGCAATTAAGGAAGGAGAACTATGCATGATTGGTTCGTCATCTATTTGCCGACTTTGCTGTCAATTGGGTTCTTTCATAGGCCAAACCAGAATCGTCTTTCGATGTATCGATTGGGGTTTCTCAAAATCTCATAATCTACAATCCGAGTGATCCAAAGGCCACAATCCAACATTGTATTGAAGTGTTTGGGGAAGAGAAAGACATATCCTACAAGGGTAAACAAGTTCTTTCTCCATGTGCCTTATGTTTGTTCAAACCCCATTAAAGTTTAGTTCCTAAAGTTAAGTTTTGGTTGTTGATTTATTCAATTGCCGAAGCAAGTGCTAATGTGTACGCTTGAATCTTTAGTTCTAGGTGGAGATGATGAAGTTTCTGTAAGTTTGCTTGAGAAATTGTGTGTTGTTTGCTGGGAATGACAGTAATTGTGTGTTGTTTGCTGTCGGGGGAATGACAAGATTGTTGTTGTAGAAATGACAAGATGAAGCGACAGGCTACCTTGATAGTTTAACAGTGTATGCAGGGTTGAACGTGGGATTGGGGATGACAATTTTGCCCATACCCATGGGTTTTTTACTATCCAACCCAATTGGGTTGGGTATGAAATCCAAATA